GGTTACGAGTCCGACTCTCTAACCATTAGGCCACGACTTCCCAACTTTATAATAATGAAAATGTAAGCTATGTAATCTACAAATCATTAAATACCATTAAATATAAAGTGTGTGTATAATATCTGTTCTTTTATTAAATTGCTTGTGTGTTTGACCTGATATCAGTTAAAACCATTATCACGAACAACACCAGAGAGCAGAGTACGGTTTTGTAGCATCAGAGTCATGGTGTTTAAACTTTTCAGGGGAATTAACCAACATATTTATAGTTCACTCTGCATATTATAGGAATGGTTCCTAAAAACAGTGACCCTCTTGTCATTGACTTTATTTCTTCCGTAGCATTGCTAACCTTCTTTTAGAACTCATAACAGAAGTAGTGATATCTGAGTCTTGAATTATTAGTTTTTGAATGATTGTCAAAAGAGTCACATTTTTTAATGAATTGGCTGTTTCAGTTGGCTGATTCATGTCTGAATGAGTTCGTTCATGCTCCATTTCTCGGATTCGTACTCTGACTTGCTCAAGAATCTGATCATGGACTCGCAAAATTAAATTACTATACCTCCTCACATAAAACTTGTATGTGAATAGACTGGGAAAGCAATATGGACTACTTTTATGGTGCTTTTGGATTGGTTTTGAAGCTTGCAATTTGTCAACTAGGCCAATTGTACTGATATATGAAATTAAGTCATATGAGTTTGAAAAACATGAGGGCGAGTAAATAACGACAGAATTTCATTAGGCTGAGATGATGAGGTATTTAAAAGTTTAAATCACCATATTTCTCCTTTAACCAGATAATTTAATAAATACAAAACACAGACAGAAACACGACATTCTGCGGATTTGAGAAGACCATATGATACACACATAGGCGTGTCTGTCAAACGTCTGCAAATATTTGCCTGTACATAAATAAAATGCATATGTGTGTTTTTGTTTTTGGGTGGGCATTCAGATGTCCACGTTTCTGATTGAGTGAATGTGGTTGCTGTGTGTCGCTATATATTAAAGTCAGTAAAAAAAATTGTAACTCACGCCTGTCATCCCCCAGTCGGCTACGGACCGTTAAGTGACAGTGATGCTGCATGCCT